GGATGAAGATCCTTGACATTGGTCCAAGAGAATGAGAAGGGGATTGTTTGAGAATCTTTGCATTCTCTCCCCCCCCATCCTCAGATAGATAGGATTTTCAGTGCATGCAACTCTCTCTCTCTCTCTCTCTCTCTCTCTCTTGCATTCAAAGCTAACCATGTGACTTAAACCCAAAACTTTAAAAGTTTTTTGGGGTGACTGAGGGCTTTGGGGTATTCTGGGAGACTTTGAGGAACACAAAATGGGTTGGGGGCACATGTGCCCTGCATCCCACCATGCTGTGAGGATTCCTAGAGTAATGTATCAAGAGGATTGTAAATATTTTAAAAAGCTATGTAAATGTTAAGGAGTGATTACTATTGTAATCACGTAAATGTGTCATTATTGATGATTAATCATGATGATGAAAAGATTAGACATTTTACTGTACAATAAATTGCAGTGTTAATTACATCACCAAAGCAATTCTAGAGTGAACAAACACATAACTGAAAATGTGATTACTGATAATTACTCAGCTTCACAATTAAATAACCCTTCTGAATATTCAGACACATTACCCAGTTTTCCACTTTTATTTCCAGTCTTCCTCCTGAGGCAATCTATTGCTTTAGCCTGGAACTTTTTACCCACTGTAACTAATAATACACATGTGAGTATGATGCATTCAGCATAGACAAAAATCTAATTTGGAGCTTCTACATGTGAGGCAATAAAATTTCCAATAATCAGCAATTTCTTGAAAAACCTGAACAACTTTAAAGTACAGAAATTAATCAATGATTATGGACACTTGCAGCTAATCATTAACACTAAAGGCTGCTTTCCAAAACTGAATTTTATAACATATCTACCACACATAGATTAAATCTTATCTTAAGTAGTTAGATCTCAAGAAATGGGACGATGATTGAAATACTTTTTTAATGGTCTAAATCCAATATTCTGCTGGTGAACATTGTTCTCTCCACTTTCTCCTGTAGTTTTCTGCACCACCAAGCATTATCTCCATGTTTTCTAGACCTTCATAGGCTGCAATAGAGGGGGATTTGCCTCTTCTTGTTGGAATCCACTTCTCCAAGTTCACTATAGGTTCCTCTCCCATCGTGCACACAATAAGATGCCACAATTTATTGATCTGAACTAGAATTGTTTGAATCATGGCTTACATTCTTGCCCACTGTTCTTGTTCTCTACCCATTCTCTTAAATGAGATAAAAGTGCCTCTTCAGTTTGCATGACCAGAAACATGGCCACAACAATACTGTTCCTCTTTGGAGTGTTGCTTTTGAGGGGTAAATGATGCAAAATAATATCTGCCAACATCCTTTCCATGAAACTTAATGAGAAATACATACACTTTTTTTGATTCTGCTGCATTTAACATTTTGGAAATGCTAAAGCAGGGACAGAAATCAGATGACCATCCAGATGTTGCTGGAGTGCAACTCCAAGCATTCCTTGCCTTTGGCAACACTGGCTAGGGTTGCTGGGAGTTGTAGTCCAATCATATCTGAAGAAACACATTTCACCTCTGTGCTAAGGCTTAAATAACCTGAAGGCACTAGAGCCTGTCTGATCTTAGAAGCTAAGCAGATTTATCCCTGGTTAGTACTTGAATGAGGAACTGGCAAGGAATACCAGATGCTGTTAGGCTATGTTTCAGAGGAAGGCAATGAGAAACCACCTCTGAGTATTCTGTGCCTAAGAAAATGAAATTGTCTAAGAAAATGAATGAGGCCATCATAAACCAAAGGGAACTTGAAAGTAGGCATGTGTGCATATGTGTATAAACGGTATGTACAGATAAAGAGAGAGGAGAGAGGAGAGAAAGAGAACACCAGGGGAAGATTTATTTATTTATATCAGAAGAGATCCTTGTTATATCAGTGTGATCTTTCAGCTAATGAAGACAAGGGGAAAGAGCAGTGGAGAATTTTAACATAACTTTGGAGAGAAGAACAGCCAAAGATTTGATAAATAGCTAATTTTAGCCTGTATTTATAAAGCCAGGAATGCATGGAATTCCATAATGTATTGCAGGCTGACATTTATTTGCATTTTCCATAGCTCTGATACATAATTTACTTCATATCAGCAGAAAATGAATGTGATCTGAAAGATGTGAGCAAATTGTTTGGCAACTATTTGTCTGGAAACTCTTTCTCGCTTCTGCTCTTTTACCTTTCAATTCAGTATGTCAGGATGTCTCCTTGTCCTGAATACTGTTCTTGTTATGAGGGATGAACTATTAAATTGGTAAACATATAGCCATTTCCATCAGCCAGGGAGCACTGATTTTGCATAGTTAATTGAGAGCCAGTGTGGCATACTGGTTTGAGTATTGGATTACAAATCTGGAGGCCGGGGTTCAATACCGAGCTCTGCCATGGACACCCACTGGGTGACCTTAGGCAAGTCAAACACTCTCAGCCTTAGGAGAAGGCAATGGCAAACTTCATCTGAACAAATCTTTCCAAGAAAACTCTGTGACAGTTTCACCTTAAGGTCACCATAAGTTGGAAACAACTTGAAGGCACACAACAACTACAAAGGACTGAGTTTACTTTCCTTCCACTAATGTTTAACACACATAAAAAGGGAGGGAGGAAGGGAGGGAGAAAGAGAATATTATTCATATTTCATAAGGGCTTACACAGTGATGCTACTTTAGGGGACAAAAGCATCTTCTGAAAGTGGAAGCCTAGAAACTATTTGAATTTATATTTGAATAGAAACTATTTGAATATATATGGATTGTATTAGCATCCAGATCCACCATATTTGTCTGCAAAGAGTGATGTAATATTTCCATGCAATGTCCCTCAAACTGATGGATGTTTTCCAGGTGCTAGAATAGGCTTAATAGGTTCCACCGCTAATGACCCAAGGCTCAGGCCAGAAATAATGCTATGAAATAGGTGGCAAATCTCCATCTGCTTTCATACATCTGTCCACTTTTTACTCTAGCTGATCTGGCATTATGGAATGGGAGAGGTTGGATAGATGGATAAAAGCTTTCTAGGACATCCTACATAACAATACTTTTATATTTATGATAAATCAGAGCTTAGTTCTTACCATTATGGTTGTAATGTAACAAGGGATAGCTTGACTCCTTCTGTGCTTTTACTCTAACTCATGGTTTCTTTTACAGGACTAGGGGGGGGGAACCTATCTTTTTGGACTACAGCTCCCAGAATGCTCAAGCCAGCACAACCAATGGCTTCCCCAAGCTCTGCTTTTATAATTATGGGGTCCATGCCTTATAAAAGAACAGTGAAGGAGAATCACACATGGTTCAAATGCTGGCTTGTGTTGTGCTGCATTGTGCTTTTCTAAGGAGCAATGTATTATTGTATGGCCAAAATATGGCAGTCTCAGTTTATTCATCTTAGCTTCTAGGGAGAGTTCTGGCTTCATTTGCTGGACCTATTTATTTGTCTTTTCAGCAGTCTGCAGAACTCTTCTCCAGTACTACATCTCAAATGAATTGATTCTCTTTCTACCTGCTTTCCCGACTATCCAGCTTTTATAAACATACACAGAAATGGAAAATACAACAGCGTGGATAATCCTAACTTTGGTTTTCAATGACATTTTCTTCTTACCTTATCTTGTTGGGTGGAGAACAAAGGAAATACAGAAAGGGGGTACATAAGGGGGGACCCCACACCCTAGAAGTTTGTATGACCCCACACCCTAGAAGTTTCTTGGGTCACATGGACTGCTTGCTTAGCTACACAAAGTTTGTATGACCATGCATTGCAATAGATAGATAAGCAAAAAGAGAAACATCACCTAAAGAACTCAGGATAGGCATACAGGGGGCCCTATACTACCCAAAATCCCCAATTGCTCTAACAGCAATGAAAAGGAAGGGGTGAGAGAGAATGCTTGATTTTCCCACATTAACTAACAATTAAACTGGCCAGCTTTAATTTGTCAATCTGTGCTAGACAAAACATAAGAAAGGCAGGTCAGTTCCAGAGAACTTTTTCCAAAGAGAAAAAATGACTGAACGAACACAGACACATCAAGCTAGCATCTGAACATCTGCAAAACACAGGAAAATGATATATTTTGCACTTTCCCACTCATGTACAAATCTCCATTTTTTTCTTCAGAACATGCTCATACTACATTTTCCCCTAGAGACTTAAAAAAAAATTCCTTCAGTTACCTCCAATCAGAAATTCTTTTCGTTTCTTCTTTCAGTTCAAAATGCTTTGACTTTTGCTACTGCTGTGCTGTCAATTTTGTATCCTCCCAGAGAGGTCGATTTCCCCCTCATTCTGATCATCTCCACATTCTGACCACATTCGGAGGATCTTATAAGAAGATTGGCTTTCTCCAGAAAAAAACTATGGCAATGGTTCTCTAGAACAGTAATTATCAGCCTTCAGTCTTTTTGGACTTCAGCATTCTAAATCCCCATACATATTTAGAGAATCCAACCAAAGGCTAAGACCTACTCCTCCAACATCTGGGAAAGGCCTTTTTCATTGAAGATATGAAATGAAACTGGAATGTAGGACCCCTTGTACAGGAAATATGCTATACCTTTAAACTGCACCTTCTACCCACCTCTAATTCATTTAAAATACAGATCATTACACAATGAAACTTCCTTTATTCCTTAAGAATACAAATATCTGGTTACTGAAAATATTGCATAACCCCATCCCAAGTCTGAGATTTGGATTCAGGTGTCACATTAATAGGCTATTCACTGATTATAAACTTATACCAAGATTTCCTTTTCTCCTATAAGTACAAATCCAGAACAGCAGCTTATAAATCTGATGACATGAGATTCTCTCCTCCTCCCTCAGTTACTGTTTTCTGTTGCCTGCAAATGATTTTTAGAAAAATTCGATGCAGATACCTCTGAATGCCACAGCTTGGGAAAGTTACATTTGTGACTACTACACCTAGAATGATAAAGATATTCTGAGTGCTGTAACCCAAGAAATAACTTTCTCAAATTCTGTTGCCCATTTACTTGTTACCTGGCAGTTTTGTTATTTGTTGTTGTGTGCCTTCAAGTTGTTTCTAACATATAGTGACTCTAAGGCAAACTTATCATGGAGTTTTCTTGGCAAGTTTCTTCAGAGGGGTTTTTCCATTGCTGTCATCTGAGGCTGAGAGAGTGTGACTTGACCAAGGTCACCTAGTGGGTTTCCATGGACGTGTGGGTATTTGAACCCTGGTCTCTAGAGTCATAGTCCAATGCCAATACCACTACATCATGCTGGAACTTGGCAATGGCCCAATTCATATACAGTAAAGATTTTAACATGCTTCCATGTTACATAACAAGGATTGGCACTTGTGTAATAATACACTTTGTATTTAAATTATTTCATATGCAAGTGAATATTATTATCCACATCATTTATATGGGTCTGGAAGATGAAATGAAAGAAATGTGGGTGAGCTAAGGCCATCTGGTAAGGACATGGCTGAAGATAAATTTGAGTTGGATTTGGTATAACCTGTGCTCTAATTGTGTCTGGCTGACTCAGATGTCAGTTCTGTTGTGTTCCATATTACAGTCTTAGGCTGCACTGAACTCACTGGGACTTATTTCTGATATCATGTTGTTGCAGAATTATGGGGCTGGAGACCCATGGATGAAGAAAATAGAGTTTATTTGCAATAACGCCAGCGGGCTTAGCAGGAAATCTCTTCCCAAAATGCCAAGTGCAGATTTAACAACTGACAAACCTTTTATAGTGATCCTACCAATATGTCCAGCATATAGAAAACCACTCCCTCTTTCCTCTCTAGTTCAGTTAGTTTCACAATATTCAGCACTTTTTACTAAGCAGACATTGTTTACAAAACATAGGAATCTTACGCAGGACATAGGAAATTGTTTACAATACAAGATGACTGTGGCCTTATCAATGCAACCTTGACAGCAGTACAGAGCACAGAGCTAAGAGAAACAAATAGTCAGACAGAAGAATTTCCAAAGTCTCCTCTAGAGTCCCAGTTGATTATCTAATCTGACCCTGAATCATGGGCAATCATGGACAGTCATTTTAAAATATAATTTTCAGGCAATTGACTACTTCAGTGTAGAGAATAGCACTGTCAATTACCACACCACAACAGCTCTGGTTATGTATCTTACACTCAAAGTCTCATGTGACAAAACACTTCTCTTGTTTCTATTCTAAGCCATCACCATAACTGCCTGTTGTGATCTCAATAGTATTAAACTGTGCTTGAATACATTCATTAGGAAACTGGCCCTGTATATTTGGATCTATTATGTGAGTGTTGACAAAGAAATGAATCTGTTTTGAAAGTAAGGTGAGAGTGTATGCACCAGCTTTTCAACTATCTTCAATGCTCTAAAACCAAACCAAAGTGACACTTAGTAATAGATTCATCTTAACAAGGCACAACTGAAAAGAATTTTTTCCCCCAAATACAGTGTTCCAGTTGTATCATGGTTCGCAAAAGTGTTGAGGAAGCATACCATAATGTCTTTATGTTCAATGTAATTTTGTTGTTGTATGCCTTCAAAATGTTTCTGATGTTTGATGACCCTATCACTATGATGACCCTATGAGTTTCTTGGCAAGAGGTGGTTGCCTTTGCCTTTCTCTGAGACTGAGAGACTGTGACTTGCCCAAGGTCATCCAGTGGGTTTCCTTGGCTGGTTAAGGATTTGAATCCTGGTCTCCAGAGTTATAGAAGTATAGAAGTCTCTGGTCTCCAGAACTGTAGAAGTGTAGAAGTACAGAAGTAAATTGCATTGAGAAGGCTGTGTGTTCAGATCACACCAGAGTCAAGATTATGGTATTTAAGAGAGCAAGGCTAGCAGTGCTCAAACCACTACACTAGTATTGCTCTATTGTCTTTGTTTAAACTGACTTTTATTATTTTGCTCATTGTTTTAACTTAGATTGTACGCCTCTGGCAGGTTTTATTTTTTATTTGTTATTTGTTTTATTCTTGATTGTCTTTTGTACAGCACTGAGTACACTGACAGTGCTTTAGAAATAAACTATAATAATAATAATAATAATAATAATAATAATAATAATAATAATAATAATAATAATAATACTTTCCCACCCAAGAATGGCTCATAAAATGTTTGTGACAGTTTTCCCTGCAGATAACAGAAAATTGAAGTTTGTACACAGTCATATCTGAGGGTAAGTCTCATTAGGGACCTAAATCCCTAAAGGCACCAGATCCTGTGATCTTAGAAGCTAAGTAGGATCAGCCCTGCTTAGTCCTTGGATGAACGGCCTCCAATGAATATCATGTGCTGTGGGCTGTATTTCAGAGGAAGGAACTGGCAAACCCACTTCTGAGTATTCCTTGCCTAAGGAAACCTATGAAATTCATGGGATTCCCATAAATC